AGAGAGAGAGAGAGAGAGAGAGAGAGAGAGAGAGAGAGAGAGAGAGAGAGAGAGAGAGCGAGAGAGAGAGAGACAGGAGAGAGAGAGAGAGAGAGGAGCAAGGATTTTATCACGATAATTTGAACACTTTAAATATTTTGGATAGGTTATTAATGACATAATCAAGACTGCCACTTTCTTCAAACTTGATACGTTGAAATAACCCCTACATACAATAATAAATTAATTCATTAATTGCCCTATAGTGTTTAAACGTATATATAACCAAGCATCTAACTACAGTAAGTAAACCTATATGTAGGCGAACTTCTGGCTTGCACGTGTCCTAATGACGAACATATTTGTTTAATTACGTGCACGACAGATGAGATAGTGTTTCGCTCCTGCGGTTACACCCTCTACTGGCGCACACGTGCTCTGCTACCGTACTCTGCACCCTACGAAACGTACTGCGCTGACTTACGTAAGATGGAGATATTTCGCGGGGTGGCTGTGCGAATATGCAGCTTATGCGAATGTAGCGGCGAGTGTATTTGGCAAGGAAGAGTAATATTGAAACACAATTGATAGAGCTATGTTATACAGATATATGAAGTAAACTTCCCGATAAAGATATTTCGTTCCTTGGCATTGCAAATGCTTAATGACAGCTAATAGCAGTGTACTATCAGCGCAATATGCGCCCCACAGTTGCCCTACAGTTATCATTAATATTTTTGTGTCAGATTATATCAGGAGCACGTTAATAGAAACCTCTATTCATGTACTCCTGGTTGTATCATGCTAAGGTACGAATTTATACTATTTTAAGAACAGTCATTTTAGTTCAGTAACATGGTAGTAATAAGTTGCAGTATGATATCATATTTTACTAATATAACATCGGCTGAATAATATGTATTTTATTGTTTAATAGTAGTTATAAATTACTTTCCAAATACTTTCCAATGTCTCAGTAATTAACTGTTCACTGACTTTCTCGCCCTGTGATAATAATTATGTACACTTGGAGCCGTTCTTAGCCAGTGTTGCCATCTTGTGGTAGAAAAATGTAAACTATTTTGGGGAGCTGTTGCTAGCACCATCGGTTGCTCATAGATGGCAGCAGCTGAGTGAAGTTGACTAGTAAACTGGCAGTTTGAAGCAATGTATTTACTAATCCATTTATTTGCCCATTGATAGATAGGTTTTGATAGCTTCTCTTCTCCCATCTCTCTCCATCCATCCATCCATCCATCCATCCATCCATCCATCCATCCATCCATCCATCCATCCATCCATCCATCCATCCATCCATCCATCCATC